TATCCTCGATGTCAGTAGGGACCAATTGTGCAAATTAAAGTGTTTTAATGAAGAGGCCCAGTTGAAATATGCTAGATTTGGGGTTCCTTCCTTCCTTCCTTCCTTCCTTCCTTCTTTCCTTCCTTCCTTCCTTCCTTCCTTCCTTCCTTCCTTCCTTCCTTCCTTCCTTCCTTCCTTCCTTCCTTCCTTCCTTCCTTCCTTCCGTCCTATGGGCTGTAACATGAAAGACTTTCATCTCTGGAGAACTTAACATTTTTCACATTTTCGCCATTGTAACCATCTGTTTTAGCAGAAAGCTTCAGTTAGATTTTTAATTGAAAAATGGGTACTATATGCACATTATTATTTAGAAAAGTAAAATGTAAACGTGTCATTACAGCCATGTGGGAAGTATGATATTCTTAGGCTATTTAATTTTCTTCCAAAATAAAATCTACAAAATCAGATCCTCTAGAGTCCTCTGGTCTAGTTCCTCTACCAGGAACCTCTAGATTTCAACCAGAAACGTGGTCCCCAACAGAAAAAGGATGAAGACAAGTCTTTGACTATCTTCTTAGAAACCAAACTTCCTCCCTATGATGAGACTCACTTTTTCCATCACCATTTTTCCACTCAAGTTTTTGCAAAATACTCCACTGGTGATGTTTTGTAGGGGAAACTGAAATGATACAAACTTACTGTTTGAATAGCATATTTTCAGTTGCAAACGAAGATCCACTTAATTTTCTAAGAGCCCCGAAGCAGCCCATAAATACAAGCTGGCTTTTTTCTCAGTCATTTTGCTAAGGTTTGATGGTGCCTCCGATGCGTGCAGGCAGCTCCATGTCCCCGAGGAGCTCGTCTGCTGCGTGAGGCTGCAGCACTGGCCTTTCTGCTGGTACTACAGGGGAAAAAAGTACATCGCCCTGCTCTATAAATAGCTGATTAAAAAGGGCTCTGCCTTGAGGCAGAAGCGGGGGCTCGGGGTGAGATCATCTGTTTATTCAGCCTAATAAAATGTAGACTCTTTCTTAAAATACTTATCCACAGATCACATCAGTAACTAACTACTGCTTACTATGGCTTGTGGGCGAGGGTTTCTTCACTCAGTGGTTTTCTAGAAGAGCACTGAGGGTAGATTAACTTCACAGGCTTCGTATCAGTAAAATGACTGTTCTCTTATTAATTTGACATGGAAAGTTACAAGGGAAACTCTCAGGCCTATGGAAAAGGCTGGGTGCTGTTCTCAGCACACAGCTTGCATTTAGTTTCTGAGAACTTCACCTTTTAAAGCACATTTTGTGAAAGAGGGCACTGAGCGCTGAGGTTTCTGTTTCCATTGCTGCTGCACTCAGCAAATTTGCTGTGTTGAACATTTTAATGTTGAAGAAATATTATTTTTTTTTTTACCAAGGCTACAAATGCCCAAAGTCGAATTTGCAACATTCAAGTGGAAGAAAGGAGAGATTGTAAGATCGGCGTTTGGGCCGTTTAAGTAAATCCTGTCACAAGAAGCTCTGACATGTAAGTGCTGGGGGCAAAGGAGGCCATTCTTCCTCACTGGGAGGCAAATACATTTTGCCAACAACCACAGATGGCACACAGGTGCCCTTTCTTTCTATGAGAGAAATGCACCCAGCGAATTACAGACAACCCTCTCCTGCACTCCGAGCCCGCGGCTGCGGAGCCCGGACAGTGTGGGACTGGGCAAGGCGGACGGCAGCGTGGAGGCCACCAACTTTGGGAAAAGGGCAAGGATTGCAGGATGATGAGGTATGAGGCTCTCAGTCTGTCAATGGTACATCTGTCCCTGGAAATAAGTCAGAGATGTTCAAGTGTGGGTTGGAGTTCCTGTCCACTACTAGCACAACAGATGAGTTGCTAGGGGAAAAAGGAAGTGCGCAGAGAAGATTTCTAGCATCGTGGCGTCTTCTTTAATCACCAGTTTGCACAAGAGCTTTACGCTAGGGGAAGCAGCCCCAAACGCAGAGTCCCCCGCGCTTAGACAGCGCCTTTCTCGGAGGCTGTTCTCAAAGCAGCCGGCCTCGGGGAGATCCATTTCACAGTCACTCCCACACGTTCTGCTGATGAAATGGCTGAGACACAAAAATGCCACGCAAGTCTGTGCGCAAGGACATGACACAGGTGTGTGTTTTTCATGTGCAAGATCCTTCTCCCTGCTGTTTGTAGAGGGAAAAAATAAGGCTGGGAGCAGAGCACAAGGTGGAGGAAAATTCCTGAGACACAGAGCCTGCTCTCCCGTCCCCACGTTCTTCACACTCTCCTTGTGCTTCCACATGGAGCTGCTTTGTGACTGAACCTGCTGCTGAGCAAGGCTGATTTTCAACTATCGCTCCTGATCTATGTCAGGGGTAGAGGCAGTTTCAGAAGGTGGTAATTTTGTTTGGGGGAAGGAGCCAATACAGCTCTGTCATCAACACCTTGCTAGGCCGGGATCAGTTCCTCACTGCCATTGCCCGCCGCGGGCCCCTTTGCTCTCGCTTTGCTCTGCCGCCTCCCTGGCCACGTTACCTCCGCGCAGCTTCCTCCTCACAAGCCCGTTGATTTAGTGCCACTCCAGGCTAGAAATCCCTGCCCCGCAGCAGCTCCCAGGCTGCGCCTGCAACTCTCGTGCAGAGGCCAAACCACACAATTGCACAGATAAACCCAGGCAAGGGTGCACAGAAAGGGATGGGCTGGAAAGCGCCGCTGCTTACGACGCTCCGGAGGACACCGGGCTTCTCCAGCTCCCTGCGCACGGCACAGGAGCACAATAAACCCTTCAACTTGCCCGCCGACACAGGCAGCACGGCCAGGAGCTGCTTCTGCTCATGGAGGAAGGCAGAGGGGGTCACTCAAACCGCTGGGGCAGGTGTCGCAAGTCTGAGAGAAGCCACTCATCGTGTCCCAAGCCAAGGCCAAGGCCAAGGGCTCCTAGACCCAACGTGCACGACATCCAGCTTCCCTTGCCACCCACGGAGAGTTTTCACTGAGCCCCTGAGAGGGGCTGCTGGATGACGGACCATTTCCTCATTCAGACAACAGAGGCAAGTGCAAAAGTAGTTAGGCTTAAGGAATTTCTAAGTCGAGATTAAAGAGCTGCATCGTAAGCAACAAGGTTGGGTAGCGCTGAGCACACGGGGAGCTGCTTCGCTAAGGGCGAGTTGCTTTATAAACACGTGTGGGCAGGAGACAGGGTAAACACACGTTTTTAGGCAATGTGGCTGACCTTGCAAAAAGTGTAAGGATTTAAACGAACCAATTAATGTCAGTCGCGCATATCGGTCTTTGTTTTCAAAAGAACCATACTCAGAAAATGCTTAGTCAAACTTTCTGAAACCAAATGTAGGCAGAAACCAGACCTAGAGTGCCCTTTTTTATTATTTTTTTTAACACACACTTCCGGCAGCGACCAGGTTTCTGCAGACTGTCCTTTTGGTTTCGATAGAGCTGGGGGTGCTAGCCGTGGAGAGAAGGGCCTTTACATGGAGGAAGGTGCCTAAATTGCAGTGTGGAAAGGTGAGCTACTCCAAAAAAAAGGTTTCATTATGGATAGAAGGGAAATGATGGAAGATCTCCCAGGAAATCCACATAATTGCTCCAACAAAGATCCTATCTGTAGCTGTGCAGCAAGCTCAGATTTCTCATTTCATCCTCCTGCAGACCCTTCTGAGAATAATTGTGGTTAAAGCTGAGCAAAAAAAAAAAAAAAAAAAACCTCTTTCAACCCAATCTGGAATGATTTCACAGATCTTTTGCTCTTGCTTAGAAAGAATTAAAAAAATCCATTTATTCTTATCAACGAAAAGGAAATTATAATAGATAATTAAAAGTGTTAGAAGAAGTTTTCCAAAGGCCTGAGATGAAAAAGGCTGAGTAGCAAAAAAAAAAAAAAAAAAGAAAAAGAAAAAAGAAAAAAGAAAACCCAAACTGTCTTGCCAACACAAACTGGGAGACGAAAGATTAAACCAGGAACTTCCTGATAGATGTAATCTGCTCCCACATTCAGACAGGAAGGCCACGCTATGTGCTGTAAAGGCAGGGACGGTGCTAATAGCTGGAGAAGCCGCTGAGTGGGGAAGGGAGGCCCTGTGGGACAAGTGCTTTTGGGGTTGATGACAACAGTGGGGCTGGGAGGGCTGGAGAATCTCCTTCCTCTCTCCAGCACCTTCCCCAAAGCCTTTCTGCCCCCAGGCCCTGTTGCTTCCTGCATTTGCCCTGCCTAGGGAAGTGGGGGAAGTGTTGGGAAACATGTGGTGGGAATGCCTGAAGAGGCACCCGGAATGAGGGGGCCCCAAACGCCACCTTCCCTTCACAGGAGGCTTCTGGCTGCTGCACCGGGAGCTGCACCATGCAGCTGCTGCTGCTGCAGCTTTCAGCCAAGAAACCTGCATTTAGCTCAAGATAAACATCAAGTGCCCTCCTGGCAGCCCAAGGTTTATATTAAAACATCCCTCATTATCCCCACTGCTGCTCTCCCGCTCTTCCAAACACACCCCTTGCTCCAGCCAACATCCCTCTCTCTCTGTGATTTTGGCCTACTGGGACTTCTCCACCAAGGCGGTACGGCATTTTTAATTAAATATAAATTAATTGAGCAGCTGATGTAACAGTTTTATTAACATGTGGGGGAGCTAATCTTGCCATGACAGCTCTTTTTTGCATGTGTAACACAAAGCTGCCAGAGGCCAGATGTGCCTCATCCCAGTATATCATCAGCTTCCCAGGATCACAAACTTCCCCCACCTTTAGCGCCAGCACCACCCCAAAAAGTCTATCCTTATGCATGAAGCCATTAAGCACCCAGCCTTTATTCTGCTCCCTTGGCAATAAATACATAGACAGAGGGTGCCAAACTAGCTCTCCAGCTACTTTGTGTTTATTATCCTCCCTACCGCGTTACTCTTTAAGCCCACAGAAGGGCAGCCACTAACCACCTCCCCAAGCACAAGCGACCTGCTTTGCAGCTAGAGCATGGAAATCAATGTACACACCTTGTGAGCCGGGGTTGAGCTGTCTACGCTCCTCTGCATGGAGGGTGGCACTTGGTAAACATCGTGCCCCACGAGGCCATGGCTCGTGGGGATCTGGTAGATTCCCTGATTCAGGTGGGAAGGCGGCACCTGGTACACGGGGTCCCGTGCAACGGCGTGCGAGCTGGGCACCTGGTAGATTTTTTGCTGGTTGAAGGATGGATGCGTCAGTCCCGAATTGGACATATCCTGAGCAGAAGGGCCGTCCTGCACCACGGGGCCTATGAGCAGTTTCACGCGGTTGCCTGGAACGATGCCTTGCCGGCCGTGCAAGGAGCAGAGCCACCATCCTTCAAGGCCTTCCGTGTTCTGCTCTATCACCGTCAAAATGTCTCCTTTGCGGAAGGCCAGCTCCTCCGCGCACTCCGGGACGTTGTCGTACAGGGCTCTTGCCATAAGATTCTGCAGAGAAAAAGAAGGGGAAGAAATAAAAATGAATGAACTAGGTATTTAAAAACAAATCTTTGCAGAGCGGCAAGAACTGAATTTGGAAAAGACGTGCAGCAAAGGAAAACACCAAGGCTCTGCCCGTCGCGTTTCTCAGCTCTGGTGACACTCCCAAAGGCGCCCGCCACGACTGCCTGCGTGTCTTGCCGTGAGGGCGGCCAGCGGAGACACTTACAAACTAATTGCAAGCACCTGAAATAATACGGAGCCCTGGATATGGAGCGTTCTGGGATATCTGGATGCAGCATCCAGGCTGAAGTGGTGCTAATCCACCCTGAAGTGGGGTATTTTATGGGGGTTGCTGCTGCTGCCCTTCAGGCTTCTCTCTCCTCTGCTCAGGGCACAATGCAAAGAGCTGCTCAGGGCTTTTTTATCGGTTGTGTCTCTTGGGCATACCAAAATATTTTAGTCCCTGTTTCTTTTATCTTTCCTGTAGACAAATGCTGCTGTTTCCCCATCATCCCTGCGCTTATCACAAGAGCTGCCTTCCATTTGGCCCCGCTCAGTGCAAAATTTAAGGGTAGCAACAGCCAGGAGGTGGCATGGAGGGCTGGCGGCTGGGCAGAAGCTCCAATGTCGCAGAAAAGGTGGATGAATGGGGCTTCTCCCAAAACAGGGTGCACGAGATCAGTTTTCCTTTCTCTGAATGGGGGATCAGCTTTCAAACGCCTTAGAAACGCTGCCCGGGCCTTTCACCAGCATCATGAGCGAGCTCGGTATAAAAGAAGCTTTGGCCTGGAAAAGTGGAGCTTCCACGTGGAGCTCCCCTGCAAGCGGCCGCACCGGGCCCCACGTTTCCCTCGGTCTGCGATGTTCATCAGTCAACAACGCTAAAACACGTGCACAAAGAGGCACGGAGCAGCTCTGCCCGCACTGTGACACAGTTGTAGAGCTGCTCTTCAGCCCTACATCTGTGGTCTCATGGTGGTACCGGTCCCGTCCCGTGCTGACTGCTGCTCGGCAGAGCCGGAGCAGCTCGGGAAAGAAAAGCTCCTGCCTAGCCTGAATATTCCGGTCCATCCAATGTCTTTCTAATGTGGTTTTCACAGGAAAATCCACCAGCAGGCCTAGCTGAGCTTCTCTAACTGGCTGCTTAAAAAAGGCCTTTGCAGAGGGGGTTGTTTAAAGGAGGAGGAAGATTACAGGGCCCCCACAAAACACACAGGCTACATATACAAGAAATACCTTTAATTACTAAGTAGAGAGGAAGAAGTATTTGAAAAGGCTGATTAGCTCCTACAGCAAAGCAAAGCTGGGCGCAGACCCTGGGATGGTGCTTGAATGAGAGCAGATAAAAGTTCCCATGTGAATTTTTTTATCCCAGCCGCTCATTATCTGTGTCCCAGTGACCTTCTCACCACCTGCGTGCCGCCTGTTACTACTTTCTGGCAGCGCTTCAGGAGCTCTCTCGCTGAGAAGAGCTTCAGAGCCTCCTCGTCCCCGTTAGCTCAGGCCCCGGCATGTGAATTAGGCTAATTGGCTGCCACTCACTTCGCAGCAGTGCCCCCAAGGCCCTCAGAGGGCCCGTGGCCACCAGCATCGCGCCCTGACGGAGCAGCTCACGTGTTTCTCCATAGGCAAAGAAGCATCAAAAGTAGGAATCGTGCTGCTTGCTGGCCCGTCGCACGGGCACCGCTCACACTGTGCACGTCCTTGATGTTTTACCTGCCTCTGCTCTTCCTACCCAGCACTGCTCAGTGAGAGCTTTAGGAATGTGCCACAGTTGCCTTCATTAGTGAGCACATTTGGACTTGGGGAAAAGTGAAATAGTCACCGCAGATGCTCATGAGCGAAGCTTTCAAGAGCCACATTTAACCGGCTACCGAGCTACATTTAACCTGCTGGGGCGACCAAGATGGGAGCTGCTAGTTCTTCACACATAGATGATATCCTCATGCAAGACACCCCTCAACACTTGTGCACTTTACCTAGATTGAACTGGCAGGTCTGAATAACGTTCGGCTCCTGTGGGCATCAAAGTCCACATCTCATAACACTCATCTCCACAGGGACAAGGCTGGATTAGCTGAATTTAATTTTGACTTGCTCTTAAAGGCATAAATTTGTCACTTGTGTGACTGGGAAACAAGCACTGAATAAGCACTGACATCTGAAAGGCAAAGGCAAAAGCACAGGAGTGACCTTTGGTATGACTAAGTGCTAACAAAACTTAGACATTTCCTAAACAAATAAGAAAACTGGCACTAGGGAAATGGCTGATGAGAAACTTGTCTTGGAGCTTGTTTTGGCAACTGGGCAGTTGCACAAACGTCCCTTTATGTTACTAAAACAGTGTGTAAAAGAGGAGGGTGACAGGCAAGGTCAAGTTCTGAAATAGGAGGGGGACTATCTGAGCCTTGAGTAGGGACAAACTTTGGTTTGCCGTGGAAACCTGCAGTGCTTCATAAAATGACCCCACTGGCCACACTCCCTTCTTTTAAGAAGATTAAGGATAGAAGTTGCTGTTGTTCCTCTTCGGTCCAGGCTGATTGCATTAAATGCAATGATGAAGAGGGGCCTGGAACATCTGTCCTATGAGCAAAGGCTGAGAGAGCTGGGCCTGTTCGGCCTGGAGAAGAGGAGGCTGATGGGGGACCTGATCAGTGTCTATAAATACCTCAAGGGAGGGAGAGAGGAGGAGGGGGCGGCCTCTTTTCAGTGGTGGCCAGCAATAGGACTAGAGGAAACGGCCACAAGCTGAGGCACCAAAAGTTCCACAGGAACTTGAGGAAAAATTTCTTTCCTGTGAGGGTGCCAGAGCCCTGGAACAGGCTGCCCAGGGAGGCTGTGGAGTCTCCTTCTTTGGAGATCTTTAAAACCCGCTTGGACGCAGCCCTGTGCCCCGTGCTCTGGGTGTCCCTGCTGGAGCAGGGGGGTCTCTAGATGACCTCTAGAGGTCCCTTCCAACATTAAAGAGTCTATGATTCTGTGATAAGAGCAGCTGTGCTGCCCTGCAAAGCTGGCAGTGGCTGTGGTCTACATCCAGGCGCATCCTTCCAAGCCCCGTGTCTCACAGCAGCTCAGCAGCCAAACCTCAGTGAGCGAGTGCTGCTCTGAAACTCCTTGCTGGGAGGAAAGAGGCAACTCAGAGCGTTTTTCTCCTCAAACCTTACTAGCAACACTGCCGTATTTGCAAGTTTAAGCCAGGGCCTGGCCCCACTTGGTACAGGCAAAACAGAAAGTGTTTGTTCTTAAGAAGCTTAAACCCTTCATAACCTTGGACCTGTTGAGTGTGGCAGAAAGCATCCTCTGTAAAATCACTGAAAAAATAACGCAAAAGTTTTCAGTCCTCTGTTAACAAAGTGCTAACACGGTTGTCACCAGGCCAAAGTGACTGCAGCGGGGGGATTTTAGCTGAAACACCTTGCAGGGAGAGGCTCCGCACCCTGTGCTCATGCCTTGGGCCACAAGTTCTACATAAAAGCGAAATTGAAATGGATGCTGTCTAGATTGAATGCAGATTACAATGCCTGCAGCCTCACATTTCCATGTTAGCTGAGACAAAAGTAAAGGACTCAAGTTCTCTGTGGGTAAACTCCTGGGATTTGTAACTTCTGGGGTTTTTTCAATTGATGGTTTGCGTGCCTAGTGCTGAACACAGAGGGATGGAAATAACTCTGCAGAATTTGACTTGTTTGGTCGGTCTTCTCCTAGGGGAAGAGGATCGAGTGGCTGCTGCTGGGGCCGAGTGGCAGCAGAGAGGAGGCAGCAGGTAGGGAGCAGAGGAAGCGCCGGCGCTGCGTGCCCGAGCAGACGCCCGCAGCGAGGCGGCGCAGGGCGGAGCGGCAGCGCCGGGAGATGAAGCCCGTGGGGCGCTGCGGTGCCAAAGCCCCGGGCAACCCCCGGCCCCCGAGGCAGCCCCGCGGCGCACGAGCGCTCCAGGAAAAGGCCGGAGCAGCACCGGGCTCCAGAAACTGCAACATGGGAACGTCCGCGAGCAGCAGCGCCTCTGCCTGCTGGCACCCCCTCTGCTCGCGGCTTCTCATTTTTCCTGTTGTGTTTGGTCTTTTTTTTTTCCATAAGCTTCCTATGTGAGGAGTTTGTGAAAAGAGTAACAGGGAAATGACTTTTATTTTCTGTGCACAAAAGGGTGGACCTCTTTATTTCTATTATTGGCCAATCTGTTTCTTCAAACCCCAAGCAGCTCCAGCGCGACACTCAGCCAGCCTCAGGAAAAGGAAGGAAGAAAGGAACAAAGGAAGGAAAGGAGGGGGCTCCCTCCAACCCAAAGGAGTCTCCATGGGCAAAGCAACAGTTTCAGTTAGGTCAGATGAGTTTTAATTCTCCTTCACTTCATATTTATGCAGGTCCCCTTGCCTCCCTTTGGCCAATGTTTTGGCTTTAGGCCTCTTTGCAAACGAGCGGCTGCTGCTCCAGAGGAAGCACCAGCATCTGTGTGCCGGGGTTAGGTGGGCTCTGCGAGGCCAATCGGTGACAAGAGGCCTTTAAGAATGAAAAGACAATTTGGAAAATCCAGCGAAGGGTGAATTTTATCCAGAGGAAAATAGTTTGGCTACAAACGGTCCTCATGAAAGGGAGAGCCGTTCAGGCTCTATTGTGCCTTGTGACAGAAGAGCCTCAGTGGGAGAGTTATTGGGCAGTTTAACATCAGGGCTTTGGAGCTCCCATTCCCTTTTCTACTCTTTTTCTGTCACTGCCTCTGAAATAAAGAGTCTATTGTACCGCATTGGGGAGGAGAGCAACTACTGAGGCACAGTAGGTAAAAGGTCTATCTGTAGTGAGCAGCTTTTCATCCAGGCTATTTAATAGAACCTGACAGAAGTCACAGAGTAAGACATCCAGCCTTGGAAAATGCCCCCCGCTGCTCTTCCCAGTCCCAGGAGAGGCCGGCGTGAACAGCAAGCCCAGGATCTGGAACGAACCCAGCTGCACCGGTGTGTTCTTGGACACATCCCAGAGCGCAAAAGAGTGTGGAATGGCCTGGAAAGGGCTCC